ATATACACTGAATCTAAAAGTATTTACACCATGTAGGGTATTGCGGTCTTTAGTTAAACTTTTACAAATGCATGTAGTCGGTCCCACTTTCAAAATTCCAGCTTCTTGGAAATCCAGAAGAAAAAGAGCTAGATGCATTAGGTTATTATATTACATAGAATCAGTACCTAAACTGGTTATTGGGCATTTAGGCTTCAAATGTCTCTTAAATATGACTCCTATTTTTGACTCTTATTTTTAAAGTATCACTGACTTTCTTGTGAAAGTGCAATTCTGTTCTTGTATTACCAAAGAGAAGGCAGGCAGAATTGGGCCATATCTTTTGAAATTAAATAAAAACCATGATTCATTATGTATTAAGCTACGATACCCTGTAAGCCTGAAAAAGAGGTAAGTTAGAAAGGAAGATTCCTTTCCTGTGATTTATTCCATGTGCATTCTGTAGCTCCATTCCTGAACTTACACATATTTTGAAATTGCAGTAGTTTTTCCGATATATTTGAGCAATTGTTAGTAACTTACCCTCAACAATTCAAGTATTTTCTCTAATTTCTCAAGAAACAAGATAGTTGGATATTTGTGATGCCACTCTGTCTTCATCTTACAAAAAAAATGAGTAAATGTCAAGTAATTTGTGTCAGGTGTATGCTCCAAATGAAAGTCCATCAATCATTTTTGGCCCTTTAGTGCAATGATTATCATTTCAAAGACGCAGGAGGACATTAAAGATAATGGCTTTTCTGTTGTCTATTATCTCTAACAGACTTCCCATAATTAGTAACATGTGTTCTCATTTAAGAAGAGTGTCAATATTTTGAGTGAATTGCATTTTTTTAACTGAAAGGGATATGTCTGTCAGCAAGTTTTTTGTCCATCTCACTAAATGAGGAGTTACAATTAATGAATTTTCTGTTTCTGCAAGGACAGATATTGCAGAAAATGTTGGAAGCTTTACAGGGTTGAAACACAATGACTGTCTTCAGCTGTCTGCATCAGATAATAAACAGTGTTCAGACTTGAGTAGAAGTAGTAAAATGCTGGTGCGTTTTCTTCCGAGGCACTCTCACTTTCTTTTTGCTTTGTTGTGCTGTACTGAGAAGAACGAATACGGCATTTCCTTCTTTACCACAAAGCTTTTTAGTCATATAGGGTACGGAAAGTATCTGTCAAGGGTAAATATCTATTTGGTGGCTTCATTTTGGTTTTACAGTTTTTATAGGAATGAAGATACTGCAGTAAGTTTCTTACTAGCTCATTTTTTGCCTCCTATTTTATCCTGAGAAATTTCCATTTTTCTGTCTTTTAGCAAAAGTCTAAACGCAGTGGGGGGTTTTTAGTCCAGTTGAATTGCAAATAGACTTACATATCTCCTAAAAACATTTTGAAACTATTTTTATAATAGAAAGCTCTGTTTCATCCATATGAAATAAAAAATAGTTAAACTTGGCTCTCCTTTGAGTAGGAATAGAAGAGATAATGTCTTGTCTTAAGCTTCTGATATTTCACTGGTAACTCTTGGGGTGTTTATGTAGAATGGCTTGAGGGGCATACTTACTTGCTTTTTGTGCAGGATATTCCTCTGTTTGAATAGGGTTTCAACAGACTACTTATGGGTCCAGGCTGTTGACTTGACCACAAAAGTTAATGAAAGGGAATGGAGGGAAATACTGTGATAGGAGGACAGCTTTTTAGCTTATGCTTTCTCTCAATAAATTTGAATATTATGGAAAGAGTCCATGCACCAGCAGGAGGAAGGATTTAGCTTTTAGTCAGTAAAGTAAACTGAATCTGTTCAGATTTCAGCACCAGTAAGTATCCTGGACAGAATGTAGACATTACAGTTAGACAAAACAGTGAAGTCTGTCATATAATATTTAATGAAATACATTTCTGGCTACATTAGAGAAACACCTTTTAATGGGAATGACAGAATAATTTATGAATGTATTGAAGCTTCAGTATGTCTCCACTTTTAAATTAGGTGATAAATATTTGAAAGATGTAGAAGGGGCACTTGTGTACAGCAAATCAACTAACTTAATAGCATTAAAAAGTAGTCAGGGAACACCACATAGAGCAAATAATGTCATGGATCAGTAAATTAAATGAATTAGCAGCAGCAGTCCTGGTTTTGTCACTAAGCCAGAAGATGCTGCATGCGTTACAAGGACGCATTCATAGTCTGGAGGAGCGGCAGGCAGCTGGCAAACTCTGCCAGCTGGCATAGCAGCATCAGCTGGCGTCAGCTGGATTTTAGCTGCTTACCTGTCATTGCCAGCTACAAGCAAGTCCCAATATGCTAAGAGGTGATCAGTGATTTGTCTTTTAAAAGCATAGACTAAATAGTTCACTGCAGTCTTTACAAACTTTCATTTTATTTGCCTTATGGTTTTTATGAGCTGGAAAAGTGCTGATTTTTTGTGTCTCCTTTCCATTTCGAATTCACAAACATATTTAATTCCCTGTCAGTGACTTCCCCAGAATAACCATTATTTGGAACAAAATTTGTATCTCTGAAAATCCTTTCCTTGTTTTACTACTGATTATATTTTTGTTGCAGAATCTTTCCCCTTACACATTGGTTCTAAACATCCATCACAAACATCCTATCTAATGCTTAGCTTTAAAACTGTCTTTTTAGAGTAGTTTTGTGCCAGATTTAAGCTATTCTGTTGTCTTGCTGCTCCATTTTTGCACTCTAATGAATAAAATATTAGCCTACAGTTACAGATTTCAGTTGACTGAAGCTATTTCAGGTAGTCTGAGTCTAGTTTTATGCCTGGTAATTGTGACCATGTGTACATTTGTCTAAAATGCATGTGAACATACAGTTAGTTGGCCATTTTAAAACATGACTCTCTGGTTTAGCTTTTAAAATTCTACAGGGTCATCTTTAATTTTTTTTTTCACTAATCTTTTAAGGAGGAGGTCTTCCTTAGCAACTTGAGCTTGTTTGATGGTATCTGGAGAATATATTAGCAATAAAAAGACTTTAATAGAATGATTTAAACATCATCGTGTCTACAGCAAGTATAGTCTGGAAAGGTTTTGCCTCAAACTAGGCATGTCTAATGGGGTTTATGACAACCTATGAATTTGTCCCTGATCAAGGTCAGCGTGGAGGTCAGTGAATGCTATACAAATTGCATACTATTCAAGCCTGTAATTATCCCTGTGAGAAGTTAATGTGCTGCGGAGCTCAGCGAATTCATGTAAAGCTTCAAAAATGGCCATGATAAACCCAGCAGTTACTTATATTTGCTCTGAAAAATCACAGTCAACAGGATGTGATGCTTACAGAGTATTCACTTATGGTAACTTTTAGCCAAATCATCTTGTCTGCTTGTGTACTCAGGACATAAAGAGCCTGAATTCTTTCCCATTTTAAGAAAACAGTTTCAGTAGTATTGCTTTCTTAATATCCAGCACACGTGCTGTAAATATAGACTGAAAAGACTCTCAGGATAGATTTTTTTTTCCAATTTTGGCAGAAAATATGCAACATCTACTTTAAAGTAAATTCATGAAATGTTGAGTCTCTTCAACAGGGACAAGAAATATCTGTCAGATCTTTGTTGAAGGCAGCATGTATTCCGACTTGTTCATGTATTGTCCCATTTCAGTACTCTATAAATAAGAACTTACTTTGCATTTGCAGGTAAAAATGTCACTCTGGTTTCTATTTTTCCTGTGGTTTTGAACTACAAATCTACTTTTATGTAGGTGAATGAATAAGTAGTTACACAATTAAGTATTCCTAAATTCCATAACAGAAAAGTAAGAAACATTTGTATGAATCAGTACACATTTTGTCAGTTAACTGTCTGTAATGTGAGCAACTATATTACAAGGATAAGGGATAAACATTTAAAGTTTTAAATATTATTAAATATCCAAATATTAGTGCCACCCAACTTTTACAATTAAATTTGGATACATATGCCTTAAATATTGTTTAGATACGAGGAAGATAAATTTAGGGAAAACTTAGCTATTGGTTTTAATTTTACAGATGAGTTAGGATTTTTAATAGTACTTGTTCATCAGCTCTATGAAGTAAGCCAACTGCTTGCATTTGAACATTTCTTACTTTGAACAACTTATGTCTGTATTACATTTTGTGATGCACTGCTGTCATATATTCCTTATGGCATAAATCAGAATCACAAATACCAACAGTCCAAACATAATGGGAAGTTTGGTTTTGACATTCTAACATCTGAACTAAACTAAAATTCAGGTAATTTATTTTTCATGATTTTATTTGTGGTCTGATCTACATCAGTATCACTAATTTCAACCAGCCAAAATAACTTCCTCAAGGTTTCCCTCCTTCCCATTTCTTCTCTTCCCCCAACCTGACATCTGAAAATATTATAATCTGAATGTCAGTATATTATATTAACAAGTGTCTGATACCCAAAATGTGAACAAAATCCCCAAATCCATGTGAAGCGTCAAGGGTGTGGAAGAAGCACATTCAGACAAGAGTGAAAGAAATGCTTTTAGTAGCCCCGGTGTTGCATAAATAGTGTTGAGAGTGCATAAGAAGACATTTCTCCAGGTCGTCTTGGTCAGAAATGGATCCTTTGTCAAAAAGATAGACTTAAAAGTATTCACACTGAAATACAAACTGTCAGACAAACTAAGGAATTTGTGATGCACTCTGAGTATCTTAGATAGTTCTGTGCAGATCACCTTAAAGACAAGGGGGGCAAGTATATTCCAGAACATATATTTGAAGTGCCTTTTCTTTTTTCCTTCTTAGTACCATCCTGCAAGTGACCTGGGGAGAATTCAAGCTTACATTTATCAGTCATTTTTAAGATGCAGAGCTTAGAGCTGAGATGAAGGTTTTACTACCTGATTTATTTAATAAAAAGGTTTAATGTTTGGAGAGACATTGAATTCAATTTGCAAATTAGCTTCTGTTATTAATATGAATGAATCCTTTGTGGAGTGTTCACTTGATCAGGGACAACTTTGTATCGTCTTTCTAGATTATCAAACTGTTGGATGGAAAACGGTCTCAAACTGTAGGAATTTTAATATCCAGTTTGCACTTGGAAATGAAGGATATTCAACAAGGTAAGTGTTTCTTACCTTAATGTATCATGTTTGCATGGATATTTTCTCATAGCCTCCTTCTGAGAATTTCTTACATTACAGAACGTGCTTTAAATATAATCCTCTTCAAGACATCCGAAGAATCATTCTTCTAGTATCTTCCAGTATATCTAAAAGTTTTACCTAAATAATCAGAATTGAATTTAGGTACAACTCCTTCTTTACCGTTTCATTTCGCATATCATTTTCAATACAGTATTTTCTCAAAACTGTTTCATATTCTCCCCCTACAGTTCCCCCCCTTTTCTTAAGCAAGTCCTTCACTGACAAAAATTAAATGGAGGGCTTATAGATAAATCTTTTGGTCTTACGAACGTACAGTCAGTATTTGTCGAATGTTTAAATTTTTCCTCATTAGCAGTATAAAAAGCACATTGCTGCCATACAGCAATCAGAAAGATGATTATTGGATGGCATGTTTCAAAGAGCAGGGCTACTCAGTGTATAAATTCCATTACTGGTAGAAATTATCTGAGTTTGCCAATACAACTGTAAAGAAATACAGATTTTTCAGAACACTGGGGTAATTCAGATTCTGCTTATGTTCTAGATTTAAAAAGATATTTCGTTTAAGGATATTGTTTATTTCTTTTTCACATTAAAAAAAAGAAAATATTCGCCGTTTAAAACAACTGCTGGAAGAATTCAAGTTGCTGTCTCCTTTTTGCTATTGTTTTCCCTCCATCACATGCAAATACTGGGTAGGGTGTTGAGATGCTGCTGGCATTGATTATTATTAATTTCAGAAGAGCCTTTTTGCATCTAGCACTTGAAAAGCACAAGGGTTTACAGATGGCTCTTGGGGTGGAAGGAAACAACAAAAAGAAGGAATAACTTTGTGCCTGCCAGTATTGTGTGAAAGGTATCAGAATGAGATGGGAAAAAACTGCTATTACTAGTTTTGAATAAATTGCTGGCAGGAATTACAGCAGCATACGGTAGGATAGCAGCTGTATTGTAACAACTAGGTGGTATTCTTAAGTATCTTCAGAGATATTTTCATGACTTTTTCTTTTCTATGCCATGATGTTCCACTGTAAAATAGAACATCTCTCTGTCTGTCTGTCAGTCATTTGCTGTTTGAATGTTTGGGTATGTATACACTAGCATTTTAGCTTCAATTAGCAGTGCACTTTTGAATCAAATCTACTTGTCCCCTTTGCCATGTTTGCATTGCAGAGCAGTCTCAGAGTGCACAAATATCCTTCAGAATTAAACTAGATGTGAAGATGTGCTCTAGGAGCATGCCAGCAGTCTCCACCTAGAGCAGGCTTTAAATCCTGCAGGATCAGATTAAAGGTAGTTAAAACTCCCTGAGATGTGTATAGTGTGAACACTGGATCCTCAGTACCAGCTGTTGCCATCTACAAATCCATCTTTAAAGACTGCACTACTTGCAGTCATAGACATAGTTAACGTAGTCCTACAAGTTTAATGAAAATTAGGACACTGGTAGAAGAGAGACACCAAAACAAGTCCTGGCACTGGAGGAAAGTTTGTAGCTCATCACCCTCTCTCTTCTGAGGTAGCAAATGACTGTCCTGTCACCACATGGATTGCTCAACACAGCAATAGGATATGCTGCCTCTTGCTTATGGAAACAGCCAGGAGAAAAAAACAAGATTTGGAATACTGTTAATGGAACATTTTAAAAAAATATGTAACAAAGCAGGATGAGTGACTCTTATCAAGAACTATGCAGAGGCTATCTAGCTGAAAAAATAAAATCACCAGACTCAGGGAATACATCTGTTCTGTAGAGAATATCTTTAGAAATGTATACTACAATGAAGACAACAGTAGGATTATGCTTGTTTCTCTTGTAGTATGTGTTTATCTCCTAGTATTTTGTTTCATTTAAATCTGTAGGATTAATTCTTTGAAGACCACCATAGTCATCATACTGGATGAAAAAAGATCCTAATAAGCTAAATCGTTCATTGCAACACCTAACCAAAACAGTATATAATCATCATGAATGTCAAAGCTTTTTGGTTTTGCTTTTCTTTTTCTTTTTACAAAGTGAAGTTACAAAAAGTTACCTCTAAGAAACATGAAAATTAAGCACTCATCCCTTTTTTCAAGCCAATTTCCATTGCATAATTCAGTATATAGAAGACAGGGAAGAGAAAACTTAATGGTCTTAAGTTTTTCTTAAGAGAAAATGAAGAAACTTGAAGCAAAAGAAAGTTGAAAAGAAAGAAATAAAAAGATATCTAATTTTATTTCAAGTTTTTCTGACCATGTCTGTTGAAAAACAATATACAAATGTATTTACTGTCTCTGTTTAGTGCAGTGGTCACTCTACCTTAAGTTGCAGTTACAGAAATACAGATCTAGAAAAACTGTCCTCAGATGCAGTGCCCTGTGGATACAGATGCGTGCAAAATTTAAAATACTGTGAGAATTCTCCATCTACAGGATTACCCTCTCAAATTAAAGCAAATAGTTTCACATCATATTCTGTAGATAGTTCAGCAGTGCAAAACAGCAAGTGACCGTATCTGGCACCCAAATGTTTCAGTTTGCATTTGATAATAATGCAGCTGCCACACTTCAGGAAGGGAATCTCCCACATACTTGTTCGAGAGAGTGAAGTTCATCCTGTGCAGATAAGTTTAAATTCGTGTTGTATCTGGGTACAGTCTAGGGAGAAGACAATGTAAAACTGAATAATTATTTTGGCTGCCGTTGGTATTATATGATGTGGAGGGAAAGTTAGCACTGTCATGCTCCACCTGTCCTAGTACTCAGCTTTCTGGTAGGTGGGAGAGGAGGAGATCCCAGGTGCTGTGATGTTCTGTGAACACTAACAAATTTTACTGCTGAATTTGATACTGAAGAGGGCAATATAGTTTCGGATTAGGCCACTATTAATAATACTTATTTCTGGTGAAGAAGCAGATAGAAATTTTGTCTGTCTCAGTATGCTATATAGGATCTATAGTTATGTTTAAAAATCAAATATCAATAATCAAATTGTGCATAGGTTTACGATTCTTTTCAAGGCTTCTTCCTTGTGTTTTTTTAAAAAACTTTATAAAAATAAGAGATGAGGAATAGTGGATAACAGCTTAAGAAACAAAATTGTGGGTCAAGACAACTTGTGTGACTTTGCTGTTGAAATATTACAACTCACTCCTCAATGAGGTATTTCAGTTCTGTTTCTAATGGGAAATGCTGGTAATAATTGTATGCAAAGACTCTCTGTAGGCACTGGTCTCAGCTTTTTACAGGGCAACATTCCTCAGGCAGTTCCCAGTATAGGGGCTAGCAATAGCAGTATACTGGAAAACACATAATAATACTCTTTTCTGCAGCATGTGTCATCTGTGCCGGCTTCCCATGAGCTACTGAGAACTTTGTTTAAGAGTAAACTGGCAAAATTGTAGGGCAGCCCAGATGAAAAAAAAAGTTTTAGTTACAGAAAATGGAATTAAGATAAAAATGTAGATTCCTATGTCCAAAAGAGTGATTCTCCCAAATCCCTCTCTGTCTCCAGAGTACCTGCATTTTGCCACTGAAATTGTGGGGCACCAGGAGTTCTGTCCTGTACATTGCTGTAAATAGTTCACTGCCTAATGCCCCCAGTTTCCATTGGGATGCATTAACTAGATGGTCTCGCATGCTGGTATATTTCCTTGGGACCAAATCTATGAGATGCGGTTGATCACGCCAGATGCACACATTTTAGGTAATTGCACTCTTTGTGGCAATAAAGTGCCATATTACTCCATGCAGAACAGCTGCAGGCTTTGCTAGTACATTTACCAAGGCAAGAATTTAACACTCTAGCACTGCAATGCTGACAGAACTTAGCCTGTATGGCAAAGGGGAGAATTTAATGCTGATCCTTGGCATTGAGACTATTTCTAATGCCAATGTAGGTTTGTGGGGCTTTTTTCTTTCCTATAATTTAAGTAATTAAATATCATGTCTGCGACTCTATTAAATCAGAGTAGCATTGGCCAATCTATAATAGCCCGTGTGGGGACCTGATACGTTATTGTGCATTTGGAACATTCGTGTGTTCACCAACAGTGTAAATTATCTTAGCAGAGACACATTAAGCTTTGAAAATACTAGAGAAATGTATTAGATCACACTTAGATCAGATGGATTAGAATTTTGTTAAAAAGCTGTCTGCTTTTGTAGATTCACTTTCATTATTATTTTTTTAATGTAGAGTATATTTTTATTATAGTGTCATAGCAACGATATTCTGATGGTGAGCAATGCAAATAAATACCATGCCACTCTGCATCAGTTTTTTTTAGCATGGCATTGTAGGAGAGCACCAACTTTCTAGAAAGAGGACAGTTAGGATACTATTGTGCACTGTCATTCAACCAGTTGAAAAGTGTTTAATTGGTCTTCAACTTTGTGATTTACCCTTCATTGTCAACATATTGGAATAAATAATTGGAAGATTGTGAACAGCAGATTAACTCATCCAGACTGTTGATCAGTCCAGTAGTCATTCTAATTCTATATTATGTTTCTAATCATCCTGGGATTTCTGTGTGGTCTCCCTCTACTGAGTGGCCATAGAAGTTCAATAAATAGGTTGCGTTGTCTTGGTGCAATTTATGGTTTATGGCACACCTAAACTTTAGAAAGCAGTATCATTATTATCCAGGCACTTTTCTTAGCATCAGAAAGACTATGTTTTATAACTATAAGGCAAACTATTCCAAAGCAACTCTAATCTGCAGACTTCAGTTTGCTCAGAATTTCTGAATCCCTTGTTGTGTTTTAACCATATCATGCAGCACAAATAATTTCACAGTTCCTTTCTCTATTATATTTTGGAAATAATTCTGTATAAAGATGAATGCTTTGGAATATTTCTTATTTGCACAAGGTGAAAAGAGTTTATTGGAGTTTCAACTAAAATATTCTGGAGGGTGGAAGTAGAGATTATAAAAGTTTAAAAACTGTTGTTCTAAAATTGTGTCACTTTTCCACCTACACAGAATATTACATGTATACATTATATATATATACATATATATATATGTATTATGTATGCTATGCATGAAGTGTAGAGATAGCTGCATACCGATCACAGAAGCTAGGAAACAATTTTGTTTAAAAGTTATTATTTTCTTTGTTCTGGAAAATTCAAAACATATGTTTTTGTGAACCTGCCTTGGGCATCCAGCCTGATGTGGGTATGTTAACATTAGTGCCAGAGTTGAGCTTTCTTAGTCTTCTAAACCTACATTGTGCCCATGGTGCTTCTTTGCAATGTGTCTTTTAATGTGTTTTTGTGTTGCATGATAGTTAAATACTGGAGAAAACCTTTAAATAAATTTAGAACCTATCAATTTTTTAGGAGTAAACCAGAACAATTTGGATGTTTTAGGTAGTTCTTCCAAGTAGGAATCTGTATTTAACAATCGTAATTTTCTAATTGACTAGATCAATCACAATTTAATTTAAATTTCCCAGTGATGGAATTCATGTTCCCATGAAATCAAGCTTTGCTCAGCAGAATGTACTACATAAAACAATGAAGTACTTCCAGGTTAAATAAATGTACCTTTAGGAAGCTCTTTTTATTTAAATATTTATTTAAATAACATGTTTCTGTTTTATCATTAGGGAGCAGTTAGGTTGATTTCTTAATATTTCATAGTTAGTCACATTAAGTTGTTCGATAGTGTATGTAAGCTCTGTCAGCAGGACTTAAATTCTGATTTAACCAAAATGCGTGTAGTAGGAATGAGGCTGTATATCAGAGTCAGCCTTAAGACTGTTGGTATTTAGGCTGATAAAAGAGGAGAGGAGTATCTTTGTCATGTTTAACTCTGAGTTCTACAGTTGTGTGTATGCATACCGTATGCTTTAATTTCTCAGCTTTTCTCTGACTTAGATATTTGAAGTGTTAAAACAGACTATGTGAAAAATCTGTGCAGAAGGAAATCTTGTTTTACCGTTAGGTTCAGTTTTAAAAAATGAATCTATTAAAAACCTTTGGTACGAGTTTATATTCAAAGCAATACTCTTAGTATGTGAAATGGAGTTGGCAAGTATTTTTATGTGTGCCTGTTAGTTTGAATGCATGATGCTGATCTGTTTTTTGTCCTAGCTGACGGTTATTATATCCTAATGGGTGCAACCCTGCACTAATGATCCTTGTGTATATAAATTCTTCTTCTTGTGAGCAGACACCATAGGCCACATAAAAATGTTTGCCTCAATTTCCCTGAAAAAAAGGATCTCAGAAACCAGACTTGGCCAAGTAACAGATTTTTTAAAGGTAGAGGAACCCAATAAAATTACCAGCTTTTCACAGCATGAGTCTACTTCCTTTCGACATATTGTGAGGTGTAGGTGAAATATTCTAACTGAACTGACAGTGTAAGGAAGACAGCTAACTAGAAAGCAAGATAAAAGTAAAAAACACCAATGATGATTGATACTGATTTTTAACTGCAGCGTGTCTGCATGGACATTGCCAGGAATAGCAGGACAGGTCATATAACAAGAAATAGCAGGACAGGTCGTATAGCAAGTAAATCAGAAAATATTATCTTGGTAATTGCATACAATTGCATACTTGTCCAAAAGAGAAAATAATTCATATTAATGTCTCTTAACACAGATTATTAATTCTGTTAAAAATGTGTTCATTTATCAGATTGTATTTTATTAGTTTAATCTCAAACAAATTTTGCTTTATTATGTCACTTTGAAACAATGCTGATTTGTTAGAACTGGCATTGAGTACAGAAAAATGGATACGAAAATACAGCATTAAAACCCACTTTGTGATTTTGAAGCCTTTTTTTGTGACAAATCTCTGTCTGAAAATTTCAGTTAGATGTACAAATCTTCATATTTTTATTAGTTGTTTTTTTAAACTACTTCCTTTCATTATAATAGTTCTATATCTTAAAAAATCTACTGTTAATTACATGTTTTGCATTTCTAGTGTGAGTTCAAATTACATCCAAAAAGTTGATTTCTACAAATCTCTCTACAAATAAATTTCTCCTTGTATGCAGATTTTGCAATATTGCAAAACAGGATGAAATTGAAACACAAAGGGAAGTGTTTGAACTAAATATATGTGTTTTACAATCTGAACAAATAAACAAATTAACAAATTGACTGTGAAGTCAATTTTCCAATAGATTTTCATCTCTTAGGTTGAAATTTCATTGGATAATAAAGAAGATAATGCAACTCATGGAAATATCTTACAAGAGCCAACAGATGATCTCATAGATTCAATCTGTAATGATTTTTCTTTGAACAATGATTTTTATCAGGCTCAGTTGTTCAGGCTTTATATTAGATTACACTCTTGAGCTTTTTTTGAATCTCTCCAATAGGACAAAAATAGTTGGAGATACTGCTTTTTTTCACTGCTACTATTTTTTCCATATAATTCTTTACTTCTAACCAAGGTGTAATGTCAACAGGCAGAATCATAATTGACAGGCAAAATTTTAAAGCATTCTAAATGTCATTGGACCTTTTAATAAAATTAATTAGTCTACCACAGAGAAAATTTACTAGCCTGCTGGTTAATTTCACAATGTAAAATCATGGAGTAGGTGGAAGAGCTGGCGAAAGCTTATTACTTTAAAATAATTATTTAAAGATGTGTGCCTTGCCTCTTTCAAACATGAACTGAAAATGCAGCAGGAGCTTTTAAAATCTTCTAAATTCACAAGCAGTCAAGTTTACTTTGAAGAAATACAGTACAACTGAAATTTAAAGTTATCAGGTACTAGTTAATGATGAATCACTGGTTATATGGAAAATTGGTAGAGGCCTTAAGCTTGGGTCTTTTGGGATTAATGTTCCGAGTAACTTTTAGACATAAGTCAGGAATTCAGAAATAGTATCTAGTACCATTATGAATCTTGATGAAATGCTGGTTTCAGAAAAATTAAACATCCAAAGTTATTTCAGTTCCATTGTGCATCTCTCAGCATACTGGAATTTAACATCAGAGAGCATTAGAAAGTACCGTGAACCAATCCCAAATAGTTTCCAGAGTAGTCCCAATACATTGCCTAAACTGTAATGGGATTTGCAAATGCTGGAAACACCTAATGCCATATATTCAAAATGTGGAACATTTGGAACTAAGATAAGGAAATATTTTGAGACTTTTCATTTTTGGTAATGAGGCATAATTAATCACTGAAGAGTGTACTTTGGGTTTCTCTATGTGGTGTTTAGAAGTATTTATCTGGAAATTGTCATGTGGGTAGTATTCTGGTGGATAAAGCTAACTCAAATGAGTTGTTCTATAGGAGATACCTTAAAGATCCATAGCACAATCTTTTGTGCTTGCAAATTTGCAAGTTGCAAATCTTGTGAGTTTGTCTACCTCTCTTCTTCCCAAGTTTGCTCACCCCAAGACAAGCAGATCTCCTTGCTTTCCTGTCTCCCTGATCTTCCATGCACATAGGGAGACCTAAATATCCCAACTCTCAATTCCTTCCTATCCAGCCTTCTAAGCTCCCATGAAATCTGTGTTGTTCATTCTCTGATATCAGTTGTTCGCATGTTCTCCTGCCTGGCCAGGTACACAGTCAACTGAGTACCTGACAGGTCATATCTTTGACTCCTGAGTATACTGGAGAGGAAAAGCAGAACTCCATTCTCCTGTGACAGAGTTATAGTAAGTTTTTTCATTTGTGCTGTGACTTGAAGTCAGAACTAAAATAAAATGGTGAAAATAATGAAATATTAACTGGTTCCAAATATGTCTTTTAGTTAGGTCAGATCTCTTTACTACATTTCCCAGGAAACAGAAATGAAATCTTAAGTATGTTTTCTAGCATCTAATTTGTGATTGTGTTCTATACAGCTATACTGTGTGTTGATGACTCTGTAGTAGATCTGGAAACACTGGAAGCACTATATGAAAATGTAAGTAAGCTGGGGTAAAGCTGTGGATAATCATTGTGGTATTTCAGGCACAGAATAAGTAAAGTTTTATTTTATGTTGTCATTTTATAATAGAGACATCATATAGAAAAAGTATTTTTGGAATTTAACAGTAATGAAATAGGTAACATAAGAAAATATGCTTATTTCTCTGGCTGGCTTAGTTCTTAAATGTCAGAAATTTAAAACAGTGGAGTGCCTTTGGAATCAGGTTAAAATGTAAAATCCAATTGCTCTGTAGGTATGTAGCATTCCTGACCTGTGTGATTCTGAAGTTGTATGAAAGAATACATCAACACTTGGCTGTAGAAACATCAGAGCTACCTCTCTGACCTAAACTGTGTGAAGCATCCTATAGCAATATTTGCAGTTCTGTGCTCTACAAGGTTGTTCTGCTTTGTGGCCATTGATAGTAAACGGCACTGCAAGGCACTCAAGGAATTTATCATGGATCTTTATGCCTCACTTTTTTGCATGATCTAAATGTTTCTTAATAAAAAATGTAATTGTTACTTGCAGACAAACAGGTAAATTATTAATGTATTAATTAGTTATTAATTACTTTATATTCATTTACTCAGAGAGCACAAAAGGATGAGCTGGAGAAAATCACGCAATATTATCAGACTTCAAAAGAGGAGGAACTGAAGCTTCTAGATAAACCAGAACAGTAAGATTATTTTTTTAACATGTTTTATTGTTTTATAGTATATTCCTTTGCTGATATGTTAAAATGGATCTTGATACGTAATTGTTGGTAGCTAATTTTTAACTTTTTTGTTGATTTCAAGGCATGATGTAAACTATGCTTTTATCACATAACTTTTTTCAGACAGATTTTACTACGTCACCTTGGACCACCAGAACTGATAATGTAGCCTTGAATGAATAGAAATTTCTGCTCCTATTCTCACTTGTATTCTCATTTGTAAATGGCTTATCTTTCTTTGCCTTTGAGCTCGTAGAGCTAAATTATTCTGTCATAAAGCAAGACCAGATTGATTTTGGTTGTTGATTATTTGAAAGAACTACACAAATGCAGGTTTTTTTAGTGAGTCCTGTGACAAAGACACAATGTACGCTCTGGTCGTACTTCTTGAAGACCTGCAAGGCTTGTGGGCAGTGGTAACTGTTAGGATGAAAAACTTCTTAAGTGTTGCTCCTTCTGTTGTAATAAACCTTAGACTGATGTGAAAATCACAAGAATCTGTGAGCAGAATGGCAATTCTGATTTTTATTTTAGTGTATATGTTTGATTTCAGATTTTGGCCTACCAGTTGTCTTTGTCTTCTGCTATTTTGCTACTTTACCTTATTTATGTCCATCCTCTACTTCTAATCATAGTGCAGTTTCATGCCCTGAGGCTTCTCTGCCATCCAGCTTTCTTTTCACCTTTGTCTGATTTAGCCTTTTCTGCTGTCCTTAGCATAAGAAGGGGTGGGGGAAAGAGCTGATACTGTGGAGATAGTGTATGTATGATTGGTTGGTTGATGTCAGTAGTATTACATTTTCATACTTTTCGTCCCATTAAAATGTTAGTGGAGAAGAGCAGAAAATTTTTTCTCTTTCTCCTAACACAAGGCAGCTAAATACTCATTTGTGACTGTCCACTAGGGAGCAGATTCATGTTGGGAGATGAAGCTATCATGCTTACTCCTGATAAAGAGTGGCTATCATTCTTGAGTGAGACTTAAGAGGACAAGTGTCTGTAAAGTGTATATACTAGCTTGTTCTTGCATCCCGTATCCATGGCTTTCCTTGCCGTGGCCTGGGGCATAAGAATACATTGTGTGACTAGTTGATGTTTTCCAGAGCTTGAATCTTTGGCAATCTGTTTGCTGTGTGTCTGAGTGAAATACATATTAATGCATTTTGTATTCTGGAGAATAGGAATCTTGTAGAGCTCCAGAGTTATAAAAGGTTGTCTTTTTGTGAACTGTAGTGCAGAAGGGTTGATCTTAATTGAACACAGAGTTGGATTTATGCTATCATTGTTACATAATTAAAAGTAAAGAACTGTAAATGAAGCAGTTACGCCTGATCATTCAGACTGAAATAGTAGTGTCAAAGACAGAAGCTACTTTTTATCAATTATTACTCTTTGTGTTCTCTCTGCAAGTCATAATTATCCCATTTTTACCCTATTATTCAACTACATAATGTTAAGAAAACTGCCTTTTTAAAATGTTACCTCAAGGGCAAAGTAATTTGCTGATAATGCATTTATGTAAACTTTATTGGACCTTCAAAATAATGTCCTTTCTGAAAACTCAGTAGATCAGACACTGCTACTTTTGTTGTCTGAGTCAGCCTCTACATCAGCCTAAATGGAGATGTGTTGGAACTGCACTATGCATATTAACTCCATAGGAGGTTAAAGAGAGAAAAGTGAAATTGAAAATTAAATTTGTATGTGTGACTAAAAATATACACTACACATGATAAGCCTCGTGTATTTTCTTTAATGAGGATCAGAACAGAAGTGCAAACAAAACCATTTATCGGATATGCAAATACTATCAATAGGTATTCATAAAATGAAACCACTGATGTGAGTTCATTGAAGTCTGAAGGAAACCTTTGCCATTTTTTTAAATGGTGGGATTACCAGACAAATAGCTTTAGTGGTATCACTGGTGCTCTCCTGCGCATGTGATTTTGATTTGTTTTGCTGGCATGTTAAATTTGCTGTTGTTGACACAAACTGTAAGTATGACAGCAACATGGCAATACCTCCCTAAATTATGCTTCATGATAATAATTGTTAAAATGCTAATACTCCTTAACACGATAAAGATTTATATGCATAATTGGCCACAATTTGAGGTTTTGCAAGCAGCATACAAATGCTTTAGCTAGTTTCCAAGAAGACCCGTTTAATTGTAATTTAATCTCTATGAAGTCCTCTCTACTGTGAAAGAAATACTAATGAAGGAAATAGTTGCAAAATATGGTACCGAGCTTTTCTGGATCATATGTAGTTTGAATTCAGGAAGTAGGGAGCTATTGATAATTGCTGCCCAAGTAACAGCATTTGCTTCTCTTTAAAGACCAGTTTCCTTTAACTTCAGTTTAAAACTGCTGGCTTATTTAGAAGCTTGTAGGATTAGATAACCTTTTTCCCTAAAAATTATTTCAAATTTTATAGTCTTCAAATGTGGATAAATGTGAACTGATAAACAATTTACCTCCATAGAATCAGCCTTCTTTGTCTGTCTTCTGGAAAAATGTTCTGTTGCACTAACGTGGTAATTTGCCTGCCTTGAAAGTGCTCTCAAGTTCTTTACTACAACATTTTGGTAGCATTAAAGAGTTCTTAAGTAAATGTATTTTTTATTTACAGTTTCTGCAGGAGAGGAGTAAAATGGACCTCACAGAAATGAGCAGCAAATTCTCTATGTTTAATCTAGGTCATAAGAAGTGTAGCAGTGAGAAACACATAAGAAAAGCTATGTCACAGTCGTGCCATTGTTACTTTAAGTCAAAGTCATACTTTTCTCAAACTAAAATTGCACAAACTACTGCACTAAGAATGTTCTCTTATCTCCAAAAGTTTTCTCCACCTGTATTGGTGGTTTATCTTTGATAACCACAGCTTCATGCTGTGATTTTGCGTCTAGTAACTACATTTGTAGTCGCTAAGAATCCTTTTTGTGACAGATTTCAGTCTTAAGTGTTCTGTCTGGGTATTTGCATTGAATACTTTGAATTCCAAAATCTGGAGACCTTTTTTTTATGCTGATGCTCTCTTAACTTGGCACAACTATGTTGTATACTGATGACCAGCAGTGTAGCAGATAGTTCCCTTTTCAAGGGAAGGCAAGAATATGTGTCATTTGACTTTTTAAATTTAAACTTTCAAAATGCGTGTATGTTAGAATTTCAGTTAAGCAGTTTGGGATTTTCTTTCTTTTGTTTCTCTCATACAGAGTGCAAAGTATCCTCTTTTTTTCCTGGCAATACCATTCATTCCCAATAGGAAGCATTTTTATTAATACCAGCTTGGCATTTCTTTTTTTCCCCACTGCTTAAATGTAAGAGCCAAGCTGGGCCTCCCCAGTCCTTCTGTCACAATAGATTTTTTCATCAGGCGAGAAAGAAGAAGAAGGAAAAATGATACTGCAATTAAAATGTAGTATTTCACACCAGCCACAGGTGGATTTTGCTGTTTTTTTTAGGCAGTCAGTATGTATTCAGCAAAGCATTGCATGCATGAGAAATCTATAAAGCATATTTGAAGATACTGATGTTATTTATTATGAAAAACAATTAATTCACAGAAATCAGATGTATTGGCTTAAATTATTAAAATAAATTTAATAAGAATTCAAGCTACTAATGGTTTCCAAAACTTCCCAGTGAGGTAGAAAAATATTTTTGGCATCGCATTAAGGAGGATCTAAACATATTTGTAGACAGGAGATTAGAAGAATGTTTCTAAAGTGATATTGGAGCAAATTACAGCTTGCTACTGGATTTTGGAAAAACATGCATATCACGAAAATCTGAGACTCAACACCCACAAAGCAAATTATGCAAACCCTGTTATTATAAGAAATGCTAAAACTTCCTGTATTATTTAGCCAAGCTCTTACATTTTAAGCTGACAAAGAGAAAACAGAGGAATTACTCATGGCTTTGGGATGCTTTCACTTTGTGATATCAGAGATGGAGTTGTTGAATATGCTTCTATTTATTTTTGTTTACCAAAAAAATTAAAGGAAGAAAGCTGGAATGGAGTCATGAGGAAAGTGTATATATGAGGACAGATAAAGAGCAGATAAAGGGTTGGTAACTTTGCTGAACAGTGACTAAAGAGAGATAAATCTGCAAGTATTTTAGAACTAAATACATGGCTAGGTGCATTACCATAAGACAAGCCACTATATAATTGGAAGTGTAGTGCAAATTAGTAAAAGAAAATTGAGGCTGAGCATCAGAAGAAATTTCTTGGCAGACATTTTATATTATGAAATAACCTTGTAGGAATATTTTGAGTTCTGTATTGCTGGGTGTATTTTTAAGGGAAACAAAAACACGAGTGAAAACAGTAAATAGTGTTTCTCTAGATCTTTCCCTTTTCATGGTTTTTAGGTATTGGTTTTTTTTAACTTATGATCGAGATTTATGACTTCTCTTTATTACTATGCAGCTGTGATAGTGCATTAATGGATTAATGTAATAACAAGTAATGTCTTGCCTTTTTCTTGATATCGATAGGACACATTTAGCATAAAGAATATAATAGTTATAAATTCTGTCAGATTTGATTCAAAGTAGGAAAGATTGCCTGTATATTTAATGATACTACAGCTTTCTTTGTGTACCCTACAGATAAGAAATAAAAAGATTAATTGATACACTTCCTTCCCACAGATTTTTGTATGAATTATCTCAAATCCCAAACTTCACAGAACGAGCTCAGTGTATCATCTTCCAGTCAGTTTTCTCTGAAGGGATAACATCAGTGCACCGGAAAGTTGATATCATAACTCGTGTTTCCAAGGTAAGTCCTAATGAAAGCTAAATAAAAACATAAATATATTTTAGAGTATTCATGTTTCTTTTTTTACCATAATTGATGAACCTTAAGTCTGGTTATTGGCTTTTCAGGAAGATATATTTATATCCATTGTTTTAGCTGCTTAAAAGGACGAGGAAAGAGGGAAGGTGGATTGTGTGTAATGCCCTATGCTCTACATAGAAAAAAATAGTTTTATTTGAATGGCAGGTTCTTATAACTTTGCGCATTAAGTAGAGTAATAGATAATCTTCCTAAAGTAGAAATTAAATATCAGACTAGCTTAGTACAGGGCCTTGCAAACTTATTTTTTTTGCATATCACTTGATGCTGTCAGCAATAGATGCCTATCACATTCATTCGTTCATTAGCTTACTTCTTTCCCTGTGGTATCTATACATTTCTGATAACCCTGATACAGCAGATTTTTCAGTACCTGACAAAGTTTTACCTAAGATTTTTGTACTATGAATGACTAAAGACAAGATACTGAAATTATAACAAGTAAAACATGAAAAATAGAATGAGATAAGAATTAAAAGAGAAATTAAATAGTGACCTAAAGGTATAACATCCTGGCCAGGACAGTATTTGATTTTTATTATTTTTTTTTCTCCAGTTTGAAGATTAGGTTCTGGTTAGCTTTGCTGTCACAAAGTACTCATGCTCCACCCCTTTGGATTCCTTTGTATATTCTAAAAATAAAAATAGTTACATAGTGCTTCCTTTCCAAAGGTGACATAAATAAGGAATCAGCTTTGTATGACATAGGTAAAGTGGTATTGTCCTCAGTCTGCTTATGAGGAGCTCACACTACAATTGATGTATCCAATGTGTAGTAAAAGGCTACATAGTTAAGAATTTGGCCTGTGGCTTCAGATTCTTGATGGACAAGATAGATGTCTTTAGATGTAAATGAAAATAACGTGTTAGTTCTCCACTGTGTTTCTAGATTTATCGTCTGTTTCGAGGTATAGTAATTTAGTCCTTAGCCCTGGTATATCTGCATTAAGTATAGATCCAGACATGTGAGTTTCCAGAGCGCCAAGACCAATGAAAAACAGACTGAATATGACAGTCTGAGCCTAACCTAGTGGCAGCAGAAATAGCTCATCTCCATGTGACTGGGGGTTATGCAAACTCATGATAAATCACCTTGTCTGTAAGATTTTTAAAGGCTACTAAGAAAGTTCAGTAATCTTCTTTCATTAATCTTTTCGTCATCTACATAGTAGCTAATGCCATATAATTTGCTTCATATGGATTAAGTTAAACATAGTATTTAATGCACATACAGTCAAACAACTGTTTCTCTTAAATGTTTGTTTCTTGTACCAGTTTTAGTTTCCTTTCCCTGCAAGTGTAAAAACACACAAGACACACAACCTCTTGCAAAAATGAAATTTAAAAAAAGCTTTTCTATATTAGCTATTAGAATTTTTGTGCCAACAGAACTTACACACTAGTATCCATTTTCCAGGCTTTGCTGAACATGACAAGTGTAAAGGAAATTTTAGGTTTGATTCTGGCTTTTGGAAATTATATGAATGGTGGGAATAGGACCCGAGGTCAAGCTGATGGATTTGGTTTGGAAATACTCCCCAAACTAAAGGATGTCAAAAGCAGAGTAAGTACTCATTTTTAATTAAAGATGTTTTTTATCAAGTGATCATTTTTTGTTCCATCATCTGTCAAAAGTTAATCTTCTTATTTCTTACCATGCTTGCTTGAAAGACCAAGGCACATTGTACCATTTTCTTGCTTTTTTTCTCCCAACTTTTCACCTCTTTCTCTTGCAAGTGTGCATAATCTTCAATTTCTCCTATTCCATGCTACCAGGATAATTGTCTTATGTGAGAAATTCTGTGTGTCTGTTCTACTAGTAGGGACCTAATTACAGTGGGTTAGAGAGGAGTGAGAGAGCACATACTGCTGAAGTCTTCTCCAGTAAATGCCCTCATTCTTTTTTTCTTGCTCTTAACTTAAGGTAGCTCTACATGGGTAAAAATGTTTTAAAAATCAGGTTTAAAAGCAAAATATTGTTAAAGGATCTAAGGAATTCTATGTAAAGAATATAAATATAAAATGTAAAAGATTTTAATCCTTTTCAAAGACCCAACAAAATATTGCCACTCTGTTTTTTTAGTCGGCAGTTAAATGGATGTAGGGTATGAATTCTGAGCAGCATGCACAAGAAAATGCTCATAGATAGCAGTAAATAATTTTGTCAAAAATTGAGAACCGCTAGCATGTTTTTGATTAGTCATGGTAGGATCAAAGTCAGGCTCAACCAAACTCTGGACATCTTTTGAGATGAGGTTACTTTGTTCCTTATTTCAGTAGGGCAGAGGAGGAGGTGGTAGATAATGTAGGCAATGGAAGCACTGCTCAAAGTCGTTCACTGCCAAAGCATACCTAAACACCACATGATATATGAAGCAGCAAAGAGTAGGAGGTATTTTCTGCTAATGCTGGTACCAATTTGGAGGGTGAGAAAAAACCCTGTTCTTTCATGTTCTTCCTCTTTTCCTATGTGAAGTGCTGTTCGAACTATAAGAAAGGTAGATTTTAAGTTTTGGAAGGGGCTTCCCAGGGAAGTGGTTGAATCACCATCCCTGGAGGTGTTTAAGAGATGTGCAGATGTGGCACTTAGGGATGTGGCTTAGTGGTGGGCTTGGCAGTGTTAAGTTTACGGTTGGACTCAATGATCTTAAAGGTCTTCTTCAAACTAAATGATTCTGTGTTTCTATGATTTGAATTCTTACTTTCCTCTTCACTGCAATGGTTCAGGTGTTCCAAATGACCACTTTTCTTCCAGTCCGACTCTAGACAAGACGTAGTATAAGCTGCAGCTTAACTAGAACCAGGCCAAATTTCCCAGTACTCAGGTGTTCATTGGTTGGCCAGCTGCCATGAAGAAAAATGTTAAACAACTGAACTTTCCCTGACTTTTCTTAGTAGAAGTACTAATTTTAGTCTCACTCTTCTATCTAACCATAAACTCTTAAGAATCTTATTATCTCTGGGACCTTCCAATTTTGGCTGAATTTAGCCAGCACGTTCCAGGATTATGAGTTATGAAAAGGAGTGACGTATATACAAGTATAATTGCATACGACTTGTTCCTTAGCAAAACAAGCTTAAAAAATACAGTATTTACAGTTTCCTGGTAGCCAAAAGAAATATATTATTAGTTTAGACTAGTCTCCAAAAATGTGTAAAAACACAAATGGGCCAGCTGCTACAGGCAGACAAGAAACCTCAGAGATAATTGGTAGACTGTATTTGCAAGGAAGAAGGCAGGGTCTTGTATATTTGAACATTAAGGTATCCTTCATGTGTCCCATTATTCCCCTTTAGGGAATTGCCAGCGAGTAATATTACATCTAGGTAAGCTGAATTCCAGGAGCTTAGGTAAAGAGTCAGTGTTAAATATCTCTTATTTCACATAAAAGTAATTTGTCATCACATAAGCCAGAAAGTTACTTAATATAGAAATTAAATGTAGGTCACCACTTCAAAATCTCTATGTTTTGTCTCCTGCAAATGCTATTTAAACCAAAGTAATAGGTTTGATAGTTTAGCATATGGAAAGTAGAATAACAGGTGTATTTTACTCTAAATGTTCATGAGTCAGTTCCTTTTTGTCACACGACCTGCCAGCAATATCTTCTAAAACCGTTGTACAAGCAGAGTGGCTTTGTCTGCATGACAGATTTGCTTAGTTAAGAATTTTGCTGGTGTATGATATTAATAAAATATAATGTGCTGCAGGCTCTAATATAGACAAGGCAACTCTATACAGGAAGTCAGACATTGTTCACATACGAATGTTTTTCCCAATACCTGTCAATATACAATATGAAAACACATCCAAAAAAACTTCAAAGTCATTCTAAATATAATTTGATATATTATGATTCTTTGATGTTGTTGAACAGTACCCTGTAATGTATAAGTTGCAGTTTTACACTTCTTTAGTTCATCTGGCCTATGCTGACCCAGTGGCATGTAACAAAATAAAATGATGTTGTGTACAGTTTTTGTATGCAGGATCGTGGAAGTGGTCATTCCACAAAGTGAATATTAAAATTCTTATTTATAAGGCAACAGGGCATGAAAAGTATGTCTTACATGCATGCTGTCTCGTTTTATATTTGGAGTAAAAAAATAGTGAAAAATATCTATGCCTCTTTCAGATCTTCATTAGACATGAATTAAGGCTAAAGGAATCAATCACCTTAATATGTCTGAGGTGACTGTAATATTTAGTTAGTATTATATTCAAGAATGATATTATTAACAAATATTATTGAAGTTAATATTATCAATCTGTAATGCCTTGTATTCTTAAAAAAGATGTGGGTGCAGCTTCTGCCAGTGCATGTTTTCTTATCTGGTATTTCAAACTAAAAGAAGCTCTAGGTCCTGTGGTAGTATGGTGAAGCCTATGTTATAAAAGGTTGAATTTTTGGTCAGTAATGCTAAGTATGAAGATACCGTGAGTCATATTTCTCACAGAAATATAAAATAATAATATATTTATTTTGAAACTGTTCTTTTTCACTCATTTGAAACAGTGTTAATCACACATTTTTAATTTTTTTTCCCCTAGGATAATGGTATTAATCTTGTGGATTATGTCGTCATGTATTACCTACGTCATTGTGATAAGGTAAAATATTAATTTGCTATATCAGCCTCTCCAAAAGTAGGTTTCTTTAAGAGATCGTAAAAGGGTTTGTATTAGCTTTTTAAAAATCTGAACACAGTAGTTCTGATGGAAAAAATGAAATCCATTTCTTTTGCTTTCTTATAATAGTTATGGACCTCAATCAGTCTGAAATTAACTATAGGTTTTATGATAGGGCTTGGGAAAAATTTTCGTTAACTGTGGAACTACTGCAGGCAAATGACTGTGACCATTGCAGACTGGACAGGTGGTCACTCCGGTCCTGTCTTCTTACCTCTTGCTTACTGCAGCGCTGTAAATCTTGTTCTGATGTGGTAATTGTTAGAGGCAGAAGCATGATTTCTCTCTCATGACAGAATGCAAGGGCATGTTGGTATTTTGAGATGGGTGAGTCAGCTGATGGGGATGAAGTTAGGGGTTGAAAACGTTTGAAGAGGTGTGGCTGCTGCTTTCAGTGAGTTACATATATGAGGCTTTTTGATAGATGACAGTGCCCAAAGGTTTTGAGTGGGAAGTTTGAACTATGGTCTTTTAAATGAAAATGTCACTATTGATTTTTAAGTACATAATTGATCATTCTCGAGATTAAGAAGAGGCCTTTACCTAATCTTTGAATTTAAGACTAGTGTAATTTTTTATGTCCCTAAGGTTGGGGATTTTTTCCCTTTTTTTTCTTCATTTTTTAAATTCTTACATAAGGTATTGATGAATTAGTAGCCACTGAGTACTTTTTACAGGAGTAAGACTAAAGTAAATGAAGATATTTCCCATGCCTGTGGCAAGGGGTGTTGGACCAGAGGACCTTTAAAGTTCCCCTCTAACCCAAACCATTTTATGATCTCTGAGGCTGGAGGATTTGTATGTCAAGAGCCTGTGGAACAGCTCCTGGGGCTAAGCTGTAGAGAGATAAAAATCCATTAGATTTGTAGATCTGTACTTGTTTTCTTTCTTTTTTTCCTCTCTTTTTTCTTTTTTTTCTTTTTTTTTTTGAGCAGGGAAACAAAGTGTCATTACTTTAACCTAAGTACCTATCTTGTAAAAAGCCTCATAACAAAAGCAACTCTGTCTAGCTTGTAATATTTCTCAGTTCTCTGAGAAAGTACTGTTTATAATTTTCTAATCATGTTGAAGCTAATGCTTTCTAATTAATTTCTTCAAATGTTTAATATTTCTGCAAACTTTCTACTATACGATAATTTTACTTCAGGGGCTTTTGCAAAAGAAAACGTCCTTATCTTCCCTGGGTGGAAATGGATACAGTGTAATGTCATCCATTGTAGTTTTCTCCCCCTGAATGTTTATATCTTTATAATAATAGAATTCTTTTTTCCCTGTTCACAAAAGAATTAATTCTCCAGCCTATGAGTTTTCCTTTTTTACAGACTGAAATCTGTGTGCAGGTAGTATTTCAAACTCACTACTGTATGCTTATTCAAAGCAATCTCGTATTAATACCATGTATATACTTGTTAAATTTTCACTCCATACTGCTTTGAAACTTGTATGGTTTTTTTTGTCTTGATTTGTTTTGCTTCTCATTTCTTCTTTCTTACTGTGCTAAAAATAAGGTGTATACTTAGGAGTTCCATACAGACATTAACCCATGTGATTTATTTAGCTGCATAAGGCTACAACTGTATATTTTTCACTGTATAAAATACTTCAGGCAATATATAAATATTGTTTTCAATTTGTGCTTATGAAGCGTGTGTATATTTAATGAATTGGGAGAGAGCGAAACCACAAACTTCTGGCATAAGATCACTTGTTGCATTGAAACAGACATTCATGTTATCTGTTTTTAAGAAACTTCTAATTACTTATCTAAACCTTATTGACATAAAAAGAAATGAAATGTTGTGAGCTCAATGCTGTTTCATAGCTTAAACTGAGCACAGTTTGTTTTACAGTATCTAAAAGGATGTTTCAACACTCGGAATGGCCAGGATTTCATCTTGAATATGTTGCTTTAGCAAGAATGATTTAAAATATATTATTTTTGCAGTTTTATAATAGTGTTTCATAGATGACGTTTCTAAAAAAGTAATTTATTTCACTGCAAATGGATTCAATTTTCATAGTAGCCTGTTTGTTTGTTTGTTTGTTTAGGAAGCAGGAACAGACAAGAGTGTTTTTCCTTTACCAGAACCACAGGATTTTTTCCAGGCCTCCCAAGTTAAGTTTGAAGACCTAATAAAAGACTTAAGAAAACTGAAGAGAGATCTAGAAGGTAACTGGGAACTTTCACATTTGTTCTGCTAACAACAAAGTGCCATTTAAAATGTGATCTTTATGAGGTTTTCTTATTGCTCATTAGGTTTATAGTGTTGATTCATTTAGAGTTTTTACACTGTTGCACAAATTACTCACATAAATTAGGAAGAAAAAAGATTCAATCTCATGACTTCATAAAAATGAAAGTAAAGTGATTTTCCCTTTTACAATTGAAAGGCTCCTAAAGAAATCTCTTTGAATTTTCCTTTAGTTATGTATGAATTTTCCTCTGGCTTCTCCAGGACTGTGTGTTTAACTGTAGATATCTGTTAGTTCCATAACATAAATACTTTCTTCAGTACTTGTATAACAACAATTTAACAGCTACAAGAAAGAGTAGATTACTATTAATGTAGAAATAAAACACAGCTTGCCAAGGCACAGCAAGGGGAAATGGAAAGCTCCAGTTCAAAATATTTTCACCCTGGGACTTAAAATAAACATTTTTAAATGTTTATTATAAAGAGGGACTCAAACCCAACTTATCTATCAATCAAGGTACTGAGTGGAAATGAAGTGGGGAGGGTTGCTCTCAAGCAGTTTCATTTTTATTTTGTGCTTCATCTGACTTTCTAAAATAAATCCAGCAAATGATGACTGAATATTTTAAGCCTGTCTTTTTTGGTAAGCAAAAGTTACTACTTTTACTGAAGCAGTTTTGTGTAGAAAATGGAGTGCAGGGAGAGATTCTGCACAAAAGCCTATGAAGTCTTCTCTGTTCACATTTACATCTCTGCATCAAAATGGAACAGTCCTTTTAGAATCAGAATTGAACAAGATGATTGTTCCTCGTTTTTTTCAGTGTAAGGCAATGAAAACCATTACAAAATAATTTAACCTTGCAGCTAGAAGTTACTGGATTAGGTCACTGCCATCTTTAGGATAGTTTCAAAGGTTAACAGTGGTAGGAAAGTATCAGTTGTTGTTTGTTCGACCCGGGCATAAGTGAGTGCTCTATCTCCTCTCATCGCTTGGCCCTGTAAACCCCTTGGCCTGCCCTCTTTTGGGCTAGTTTGTACAGAAACATGATCTGTGTTTGATCTTGTACTTTTTCAGCATGTAGTCCTGCTGTCATGCATCTTAGTCTTGCGGGATCTGCACTAAGGCTGTGACAGTCACATATTTATTCTACATTGCAGAGACAGCCAGTGGGAAAAGCTGAACACTGAACTAACTCTTAAAATAAAAACCGCAGCGTTCTTGTAATCACTGACATATATTTACTAAAACAAGTTTTCTTAGGTATTTATAGAAAATCCAGAAATTTTTTATGTTGAGGTTGTTTTCATAATTTTTCTTTGTAAAGATGTAATTGAAACCCAGCCAAACCAATTAACATACAACGTTAATGACAGCAAAGATTTGAAACCAGTGTAGGTTGTGGAAATGTTTTCAGATGTTGGTATTTTATCACTCAGAAACATGCAGCAACATTCTAACAAGCATTCCTGTGATTAGTTTTTCTTATATTTAAACACAGAAACAATAATTTATATAAAAATGCTGTCTCTCTTTCAAACATTCCCTTTTTTCTTCAGATAATGCTGTAGTTTATTTTTAAATCAAAATTTTAACTGAAGATGGTATAATTTTAACACGTACAACAAAGATTTGATGAGTCTCTGTAGTTTATTGTAGCCATTAAAAAGTTGTGGCTGCTGGCAGAATACCAGTGAAAGTCTAAAGCTGAAACAGATGTGAGTAGCAGAAACCAAGTCCAGAGAAGCATCGGGCCCAGCTATCCAGACAGGCGCGGCCCTTCAGATGTAAATAATTTGAACAATATTAACTGGGGCTGCCTGTGTACATTGGATTTATTTCACAGTTTGGTTGACTAAGGTAGCCCTAAACAGATTACCGTGGAAGTGGGATGAGACAAAGGTAATAAATGAAAGGGGGGTTCTTTTGTGTGCCATTAGGGAACAAACTAATGTTCCTGTTCGTGACTTAATTTTTTCCTGAGATTTGCACAGACTGATTAAATAAAAGATAAATATCACCTCTTGTGCCTCAAATGGCAATTTTGATAGACACTTTTCATAATAATCTTCACTTAGTATTTAAGAATATTTCTTACTAGTTTATCAAGGTATTCATTTATCTTTCTATCATGGATACTAACATAGGAAAGATTGAGTTATCGTGAGTGGCACGTCTTAATGGTGTAAACCTCTGGTTTGAAATGCCTAGACACTGTGGAACCAAAAGTTCAAATCTAGATGGAGCACAAACCCTTTCATCCTTTTCACATAAACAGATTGAGTTCCATACAATTTGCTATTTTGAAGTCGTACAGATTAGACTTTAAAGGGACAGACTAACTTTATTCTAAAGGGATTAGACTAAAGTTTGGCTCAAAAATTCAAACAAATTTTTTTGAGAACCTTAATACAGCAGGTTTTTAACACATATTCCAGAACAAACTTTGTAATCATGAGCATTTTTAAGATTAAAAAGAATGACAAACAAAAAAATGCATTTAATATAGGCTTTTAAGGGGAAAGAAGTACAAAACAATTCAATATTAAGTAATGAGATGAAAATTTTAGAGTGAAATCTGGTTCCACTTTAAAGTCATAGGAAAAAGAGATGTTTTCTGTAAGCTCAGGTTTTCACTCCAGGTCTGTATAGTCAGTGTATTTCCAAGGTTTTCAAATATTTCATAGTAGCATAAGCAGATACATTTATTCATTTAACAGTTATTAGCTTTCCAGTTAATCATCATATTTATAGAAAATAAAAAAGGTTTTCCTTTGAAGTAATATTTTAAGATTGCAAGATATCTTATTCCTTGTCTTGGGCAATGATTTCCACTTTTTCCTTTCCCTATGACCAAACGTGATTTCCTTTCTAGTCAAGACAATGTCATTTCATTGATCTTCCTCTGGAATAAGCACAGAATGTTTGAAATGTGCAATCATAAGGAGATTTTTAGAAAGAAAGCCACTTGACCAAAGTATAGTAGACTTGTATAAGTTTTACCATGAACCTTTTATTCATCTCTCTCCAAAGTTGAACAATCTTAATTATTCAAAATTAGTTGCACTGCAGATTGTTTCCATCTGTCTTACCCATTGCTCTTCTTTGCAATACAGTTTGTAGAACTTTAAAATGCTGCTTCATTGCAAAAGAAAGCAATATTGTATTCCTTGTGCCCTTTACTGTAATGTTCATTATAACTTCGTATTCTTTTAGTATTCTTTACCTTAAGAACTGAAAGAGCAAAGATAATTACTGAATGGTTAAAAATGGAAACCAGGATATGTCCATTCTGAATACCTTCAAGTATCACACTTTTATTTCTCATAATTAATTAGTTTCCTATGAGATTGTGACATTATGATCCCATTGAAAATACACCTACCTTTTGCTTTCAACTTGTTTCATGGCTGCCAGCAGAGATACTAGTTGCCATTTTCATACTAAGATTTTTTCAGTGCTGTATATATGTTTTAAATTTTTACTAACTTGACTGAGTGTATATGTGTATGTATGTAGGTGTGACTGAAAGGAAATAATGTAATGTAAAATAGAAACTAGATTTCCTTAATCAGCTACCTATAATAATCAGTTGGATTTTAGTACTCCAGGAGACATGGTCCCAAACTGGGGACCTCTTAACCTAATTGTTGACAGATCTGTATCTTGCATAAGTATGTTACCTGCAGCGTTTCCACATTTAAGTAGTGGAACTTCATCAAAACTTCAGCTTATGGCAACCCTAACTTGTAAAATTGTATAATCCTTATAAAAAGATTTAAAAGGGAGCAAGTAAAACTATGCATGAAAACCTGAGAAATTACAATATTACATTGACTGATTTCACATTGTTTTTTATACAGAAGGATTACAAGTGTCTTAAAATCATAGAGAAATGCAGGTCAGTTGGTTGGAAGGTACCTCTGGAGGTCCTGTGGTCTAAAGCCTTTGAGCAGGACTAACATCATATTTAGATTAGGTTGTACAAGGCCTTAACCAGCTCAGTTTTGAATCTAAGGACGGAAATTCCAGCACCTCTCTGGGCTTCTGTTCCAGTGCTGAATCACTGTCTTGAATATTTTTCCTTATCCCTTGTGAGAATTTCCTGTGCTGCAACTTGTGACTATTGCTCATTTTTCTTTAGATGTACATTTCTGAGAAAAGTCTGCGTCCATCTTCTGTGTTTATGTGTTAGATAGTTGAAGTGAAAAACTAGATCCCGGGAAAGCAGAAAAGTTTAATGAGCATTATTCACAAGTTAATCTAAAATTCTTAAATGTGTGTGTTCCCATCAGAGTCTGCAAACCGAGTTAAAGGTTTTTGCAACAAAATGTCCACTGATAAACTGAAACTCATTTTTGTTCTAAGAACTTATGTTTTCCATTAATTAACTGGGACATTTTCAGCTTTTGTTGGATTTCTATGTACTCACCAATGGAGAAATTAATTGGATGTGTTGTTATTTATTCAGATGGAATTATGTTTTTAGTTCCCTAAATAATATGGCCCCAGATAAAATCTGTTCTATGGAATACAGTTTTAGTATAATAATGATACAATAATTATCAACAGGGAAATGATTACAATGTTGAAAAGTTCTGTCTGTTTGATTTGCTTTATAGACAGTAAAGTCACTGGATCACAATTAAAATTCTGAATATTATATCAGTTTGAGTGTTAACTTTCTAAATAATTTGTTGGCAAAAGGTATTTCTTAGTAAAATGCGATTGTTTATTCATTACAGGAGGATAGAATTCAAAAAAGTATCAAATGCCCTTTTCTAACCAATTGAAGCTTTAGTCTAATTTAAATGAAGTGTTTTAAGTCAATTTAAAAGTGAGATTTAGACATCAGAGTCACATACATGCTCTAGAAAAAATTTTTGAGTGGGAGCAGAGAAGTTGTAGGATACTTTCCAGGAACTGCTCATTTTCATTTTCTCCATGTTAATTGTACTTCTGAATTTTAAAATTAAT